AAATGTAGTTTTTTGAAATTTCCCTTTTATTCGGATTTTTCCATTGGGGCGTATTTCTTCCCTTACCAAATAATAGTTTCTCTTGAGATTCACAATTTGGGCACAATCGTTCATGCCATCTTCCGATATGCATCATGTTACACGTCTTTCGTTGTGTGTTCTCAGTAACTAGTACTTTACTTTTCCATAAGAGTTTCCTCTTCTTTTCAAACATCTCGTTGGAAAACTTAGAACTACTCATTGTCATGGTATTAAGTAAGAAGGTTTCATTCGAAAAGTTTTGATATATCTTAAATGGATATTTGACCTTATCCATCTGTGTAAGATACACCCATATTCCCCATGCTCGCCTTGTTGAGATTCATCTTCAGACATGGATGAATATAATGGTGTCGCTTCGGCTGTTTTAACATAACTTTATCCCAAGGCTTGTTCTATACATCTTCAAAATTTGAAGATATCTTTATCCCAACATACTCTTCCTGTGTTTGTTCAATACATCTTTATTCCTGTGCTAGAGTTGTTCTATACACTTCTACCAACGCTTGTTCAACATATCTTTATCCCAACGTACTCTTCATGTTCTTGTTCCTACATCTTCATAATTTGAAGATATCTGTAATAGTGTATACATTTTGGACTATTTTCACTATCTATTTATTTTTTTCATATATTTCTCCTCACCAAAATTTAATTAACATGTAATAAATTCATCTAAAAGTTTTTAATAAAACATAGGATTTGATACAATTTTATGCAGAGCGGTACTCTCAGAATAGTTTTAGGTACTTATACGTTAAGAAATCAGATACTACATGATATTTTATAACTTAAGGCACTTTTTAAAGATACAGGTACTTCTGCGAATGAAAACAAATACTCCTTAGCGTTAGAGTGGACCAATTACAGAGGACAAAATCATATTTTTTTTATAGAAACAAGTAACATAGTTATCGAAATAAAATCGTATTTTTAACTTTAGAGATTGCTAATTATTTTGTCCTTATTATTCAACTAAGGAGTAGACTGATTTTTTTAATATTTAACTGATCAGAAAAATGATTTTAGGATCGATGATTTTTCATAAAATATATCCACTTTAGTTTACAAGAATTGTTATTTGTTAAAAATAATAAATACAACTCATCGTCAGTATGTCAACACGTTTTTTACTAGACGTGCTGGCCGCCGATTTTCCATTAGCGAAGAAGTAATTGGAGAGAGCCATCTCCAATATTCATTACCATCTTTGCAAATTTTCTCCTCTGTGAAACGAAACAACTCAAGCTTCTCTCAAAAGGATAGCGTCGACACACACAGCATCGATGAACGAACCTGAGCTCAATGATTTGTCCGATGACGTCGATTATGCCGCATCAATTCAACAGGTGATCTATTTCAAACGCACATGTTATTCACCTGATTTTGCCTGATATTAGTTCTGTTGATCTGTAATCGTTGATTGACGAGTTATGCTGGACGAAATTGATTTTTCTTTCCTCATTGATTGTGTTCGGTGGGGTTGTTTACTGTTTGGGAGTTCAATTAGTTTCTATTTTTTTATTGGGTTTGGTTAAAGGTATGCTTGTATCAGGGTTCTGCCAGCATAATGCGGAGTGGAAGCGGGAACAGGAACCCTTTGGAGGGCTCGGAGGTGGTGTTTACAAAGGAAAATGTGACGATTCATCCCAGTCAGTACAAGCACGAGAGAATTAGTGGTCGGTTGATATTGACAAAGCAATGGGATTCTCTTTTCATGGTATTGCCATTTTACTTTCATGCATGGAATGTGAGACCGTGGGTTTTTTGTTGACATGTTCATGAAGAGAGCTATTAGCTCAATATTGTGCTTGTGCTACGAGTTCAATTGTCATTATTGCTACAAATTTGTGGATGTGAGGTGTGAAAGGCAAAAATAAAAAAAGCTTTTTTTACAGCTAGTTTGGATAATGGAAAAATCTTCCGTATAAATCATCTGTAGATAGTTAGATAGTTGAACCTTGGCTTCTCTGTAATTATATTTGCTGAATGCTTTTCCTGATCCAGCCAGAGGTGGGAAGGTGGAGAATTGCATTTATCTATTATGTATTGGTATAATGTGTTACATATCATCATACTCACGAGTTACGCGAGAAGCTCCTGGAAGATGAAATTCAGTTGTCTTTCCTGCATAAACATTCTATTTGAAATTACTGTGTCCGACTGACATATGGTTTCTATACAGACGTGGATTCCCTACAAAGGCCATAATTCAAATGATAGGTTGTCTGAGGAAGGTTAGGTCTTTGGTCTTAGGTGCTGATTTTTTCTTATTGTATCCAGGCTTTCCCTTATAAATGAGATAGTTGGTAATGTTTCCTCTGTCTTGGTGCAGATAAGAATCTCTATACTATAATGTCTGTGCCATTTGCTGATATTCGTTCCATAAGTAGACACATGCCAACACTGGGTTGGTCATTTATTATTGTTGTTATGTCATCAGGTAATCCTATTACGGTTTTCTTGCTTTCCTCAATACCTCAATTTTAAATATATTCCTCTGTGCAAGATCAATTGGAACTTAATAGAATTTGCATGATTTTGTTCAAATGTAATCTCATTTTAGTATCTAACTCCCTGATCACCTTGCATCTTTATCTTCAACAGTTTTTGTGCTGCTCTGTTGACTAGTTGTTGTATTCATGCATCTGATGAACATTATAATCAACACTAGAGTTGAATAATTTGTAATTTTACTTGGAACATTGTTAGTATTACATACTTTGTTCTTATGATTTTTTCTGTTCTTCAGTTTCTTCTTTCATCATGAATTTTCTCATAGCTTTGACTGCTGTGTTGTCTTCAGGACTAGCTTTCCCTCCATTTTATTTCTACAGTGGAGGAGTTCGAGATTTTATCGCCACCATCAAGCAGCATGGTTCTTTTGTAAGGTATGCATTTTTCAAGTGCAAGTCCCTTTTTCCTCTTAATGCGTCTGATATGTAGTAATCCAAATGTATTTCTTATTTCTCTGTCACAGAGTATGTAAGCCATATGCATCTGAATTACTGCCACCTCTAGCAGTTTGACTCATCACTTCCCTGTGGGTTGATTTATGTTTTCCCCTTTAATCTCGATGAACTTTTGAAGGAATATCCATATCCCTATCTTGGATTTAATCTTGGTAGTATAGATATAGCCAAAATCAATCTGATCGTGGTAATTTTCACAATACTGGAGTATAACTGAGCCTCCAAACATCTCCAATTTGATAAAGCTTTGATCTTTTCAGTCTTAATTCTCTGTGGTCTTAATTTATGAATTGCTAAGCAAGAAAGCAAAAATATGAAAGTAACTGTATAACTGAAAATAAGAAAACCTATGTAATTAAAATGCATTCTATTTATTTCAAATTCGTATATGTATTCGATAATTATGCCTGTTATGGATGTTGGTGAGGCTCTGATGTAGAGTGATTATTTTAAGTGATAAATGGAGTATTACCTGTTATGCGTATTGGTGAGTCATGATCCAGAACGATTATTTAAGTGAAAAATGGAAACGAAAATTTTGGTGAAAGTTGGGACTTTGGGAAATAAATTAATAACTAATGCGGATGGGTTGGGATTTTATGGGATTTTCTTGTATTTTGCATGGACAAGTAAATATCCACTTTTGTATGATTGATACATTAGTTGGCAAGCCTCGTTCTTAAGAATAAGTAGATTTTCTTGTGTACTTCTGGTTGTACGTGAGAGTAGTCTTATTTCTATTGATTGACTTTTTTATTAATGTTGTAACATGATTTCAATATTTCCAGGTCAGCCGAAGACCCCAATGTATTTCTTGTGAACGATTTTCAGGATCCTCTCCAGGTTCGGAAACTAATTAGGTGCTCAGTTTATGTACTAATACAAATTCACGCTGAATCTCAGATTAATGAAGTTTTTTGCCAAGCTCCGCCTTGTTAACTTTAGATAATTGCTTGTGTTATTTCCTGTGCAAAGGCTGTTATCCTGTAACTAACTGATATTCTTTAAATTATTCAGAGAACTCTATCTTCCTTGGAGCTTCCTCCTACTATTTCGGTAACAAATACTCATTCTCCTGTAAGTGGAGGTAATGAGTCGCACAACAGTGGTGATATAGAGAGGGCTGCGTCCCAAAACAACTCTGGTAATGTTCAGCAAAATGGCAGACAGATGCAAAAACATAACGACCCTGCTCGCGATCTTTCAATACAAGTATTGGAGAAATTTTCACTCGTTACCAGATTTGCTCGTGAAACCACCTCCCAACTTTTCCGCGAAACCAACATTGATGGATTTATTCGTAATGATGGAAGGAAGCATGATCTTAATGATAAGAGGAAGCATGATCGTAATGATGAGAGGAAGCATGATCAGTTGACTCCTCTGTTCCAACCCATCACAGCAACAAATGATTCTCCAAAAGTTCCCAATGTGGTTTCTGTCGAATCTGAACCATCTGATCCAGTAATATTCTGTTTTCTCTTCATTTACTGTTCCCATAACTTATTGCGGACTCTTGTTTGTGACTTTTTTTTATTGTCCCTCAACAGAACCAGGTAATTTAAATGTTCTTATATTTGGTTCTTTGTTCTTGTTACCTGGTTTTTGGAACGGGTATGGGGTTTTCCAGGTACTAAACATAATATGTAACATATCTTTGGGCCGGGAACTCCACTGAGAAACTGCTTGGTTATGAAATTTCCTTGCAAGTTTGTTTTAGAAGAATATGTTTTATTTTTTTATTCCAGGAGTTTGATGTAAGGTGTAGTCACTTTTCATGTGGAAGACAGGTGTAGTCACTTTTCATGTGGAAGACATGGCACTTTTCGCACAGAAATCATGTCATATAGGTAACTAGTTCTTGGTAAAGAAGCAAGTAACACTGTTGGACTATTCGGGTTATAAAGTTTGAGGAGGTATATTAGAACTTAGGAGCCATTTGGTTTGAGCATTGTCTCTGACAGGGTCTCCACTAGGCAATAAACTGATCATTTTATCAGTGAGGTCATATAACTCAAGCTAGATGTCTTCAAATTGACTTTTAATTGAGTAGTTGCATTTCTTGCTGTAGTTGTAGTATTGAATTTGAGTGAAGAGGCCATCATGTACTTGGTCATGCTTGATACCAATCTGCTGCAGAGGTTTGAAGGTAGAATAAAGAATAAAAAAAAAAAAAAAACTGGGAGAGATCAGAGATGCATATGAAACTAGGGAAGTTGGGTTGGAAGACATTCACTGTGACCATAAACAAAGAGTGATTTCTTCATCTAATAAAATAAGGAACGGCTTACAAGATATAAGGAGCTGAAATGAAGGCTAGGCAATTCATGTTGAAGGAAAATGAATCATAATAAAGAGCAAGAAATCAAATCATACTTAGATCACACATGATTTTTTCTTCTACTATAACAATTTCACTGATTTATACTATTAATTCCTTATTTTAGTAAATTTTTTTACCTATCTTCTCGTAAGCCATTACTGTATCTGTATGTTGATGTGTGATCAATTGAAGTTTGATGTATGCTGAGTGTTATTGCCATAATAAGAGCACATAGTTTAATGTAAGATGAATCCAGGTTTGCATAATTTGCTGTCAGTTGGCAAATTACGGGGTCCTCTGGACTTATGGTTATGTTGGAGGGCTGCAGAGGTGGAGGGCAAGCTAGAAATCTCGATGGAGGGTTCACTTGAATTCCCTGTGCTTTTTAATTTTTCCAATTTAGTATACACTATACATGATACATCTTTCACATTCTATGTTGGAATTAGTTTAATTTATGCATTACCTTGATGGGGCATCTTTTTTTTCTCAAAGTTAAGTCTTGAAAATTTGTTGAAATGACATGGTTATTTTTTCTAGTTTTACAGCTTTGTTTTTTTCTGTCCCGTTGCCTATTCTAATCTTAAATAGAAGTTTCATGTGCTCATCATTTTAATACTAATGAATGCTTTTCCATGTTTCAGATTATTTCATTTATATATATATATCGATTGTGTTAAATTGTACCTAACTTTTGATTTCTTTTACCAGTTCGATAAATCATCTCTAATATGGGGAAAACCACGTCAGCCGCCACTTGGGAAAGAAGAGGTAGTTCTTCTTTCCTGAATGATGAGGATCTAAATATAGTAGAGTACTAAATAAGTTAAGTTGCTGTTGTTTTCTCATTGTCTCTATCCAATTCTCTTCCTTTGCTATTTTCTATTTGGAAACTCTTAAGGGTTGCAAGATGAGTTAAATTGCTGATCAATGTAAATGGCTTAGTCATTTCATGATGGTGATATTACAGTAATTTTAATTCTTCACAAGATTTCCTTTGTACACATAGCAGAATGCTGATTTTACACTAGAGAATATTGGCTGGAAAATGATAATGGATAGAGAAGGGTGTTTTGTTATTATCCTTTTGTGGGTGGGTGTTGGGGTGGGGGTGTACATCCTTAATTATAGCTAACAGAGTGCCTGATTGATCGCTAGCTTTTGTATGTAACCTCTACCTTTTCATTTTATTGGAGCAAGGGAACGTATATTACCTGGCCACATTAGCCACCACTTAATGTGACAGAGTGAAGGGTGAAAGCAGACGAAAATAATCGATTAGTATTACCTATTTTTTCCATAGATAATTAGACTGGGGCAATTTTCGGGAAGAAAGCTTAAATCTGACAATCTTATTCAACCCAAAAGATGACCCTAACTGGTTGATAAATGTCTACTTAAATAGAGGCTTCTTACATGTAACCCTATTGTGTATTCAACCCTATGGGCCTAAAGTCTAATTATTGAATTAAATAAAATAGAAATTTGATCTCTAATATAATAGGCTTGTAATTTACCTTCGGGAACCTTTTCAACGACTTCTGTAAATCCAGAGATATGACTTATGAGAGATATTTGCATACACATTTGAAACTGGCCTTTCTGAACTGTCCGAGAATATCTTAGACAGTGGATTCTTTTCTCATTGAAATGAGAGGATTAGCTTTGGCAAGACATCTATCTATATAAGATTAAATGGACATAGACTTCACTATCAAATATCATTATGATGGAAGTATTAGTGCTCAAGGATGAAAATATTAGCACTCAAGAAGATCCAACTTCATCAGATTACATTTTTAAGACATTCTTTTTTACCTCAAAATTTTATTTGCAAGTAGAATTTTGAAGTCGTAAAGATGCCTCGTATGCTAACTAGACCTATGGTTTGGTCTTCACCTCACCTATATTTGCCCTATTATTCCAAAAATAGTCCTTGTACAATATGAGATGCGTCAAACATGTGTTTCCTTTTCTTTTCTTTTCTTTTTCTTTCTTTTTTTTTTTCTTATACCTTGAAAAGAGAATTCATATTTTCTTGAGAAAGACTCTGCAACAACATTCTGTTTCTTGCTTTTCCAAGAAATACGATTGTCTCGTGTAAGAAACAATAACCAGCTGTCGATAGTAAATCAAGTAGGAATCTGACATAATAATTCGCGCCTGCTTATGCGACAACCCTCGTTAAGTACACTTCCTTAAGTTAAGTAAGGTACACTACTTTGGTCTCGGGTTTCAACTACTTTTATTTTAGAAGGCTCTGTGACCTCTACTTGCTTTTCGTTGAGCTAGGCCCAGTGACCTCTATTCTCATAATCCAAACCTCTTCCTGGAGACCCCTTTATGTAATGTAGGAACCCCCAACGACCGCCACGAGGAGAATTTAGAAATTGTCTCACAACACTGACAAGAAAAGAGAATTTAACTCACAATGCTGACAACAAAAGAATATGCCATGGCTAGTCATCGTATAATTCAATCTCCCAACCAGTCTTCAATATTTACCAGGGTCTGGAATGAATTCAATTTCTACCAGGCCTACTCATCTTTATAGTTCAGTTCCCAGCAAGCTTTTCGGAAATAGTGGCATAAGTACCGGTAAATGAGGCACTACTGCCATGTCAAAACTGAAACAGAAGCAGGACAGAAGTTCTGGGGGCTGATTTGTCCAAGAAATAAATTGAAAAACATCTGACGAGTGATGGAGTCGGACAAATAACCACAATAAGAGAGAGGAGACGTTGGCAAGCCGACCAAGACCAGGGGCATGGTTTCCAGACTGACGGCTAACAGGTCCCGCGTGGACTGCAGCAGTGCCAGTAACCTGCATGTGACACCACATGAGACATGACGACAATGGTGTTCTGACAGCCAGCTGTCAGTTGGTGTGTGACCATTGAGCTGCCGTAACTGGAGTTCTGCTGGGATAAATGAAGCTGTTTGTTTTTTTTTTGTTCTCTTGTGACTAAGGATCTGATATAGTAGGGATGTGCGACGACGAAATATAACAGATCAGGCCCACTGGTTGTGGGCTCTGATACCACCTTGGAAAGATGATTCGGAAATTGAAAAGAGTAGTGGATGTTAAATTGAGAAAACTCTGAGCAAGTATTTTCTCATATAGGCGAACTGTGCCGACAATTTCCCAAAATACAGGGATTGAATTATTGCAACAATCAGTATCCCTAATTATAAGCTCCTAATCTCAACATTGTTTGTTATGTGTAGCTGACATGTTATACCTGCTTTTTGTGAGTGGTGTTGTTAAAGGATACAATTTTATGTATTGATCTAAATAATTTAGTGGGGTAGGGTTATGATACTATTGAGGACCACCATATTACTGTTTGAGAAAGACATGAATTGGAATAATTCTGTTTTTTGCTTTAAGCTTGGGAACCTTGTGTTCTTGATTTGTTTCTCCACGTAATAATATTGAAATACTGCTTTTCATTTGCTTACTTACATTGACTCTATCAGACTTGGACCCCTGTTAAGCGCATTGTTTGAAATCTTTAATTTATTGTGCATCTAAAATGCTTACCCTGTTTATTCTATATTCCATCTGAACCAAAATCTTTCCTGCAGTGGACCACCTTCTTGGACGAAGAAGGGCGAATAATGAATTCAGAAGCATTCAGAAAGCGAATCTTTTATGGGGGAGTAGATCACGATCTGCGGAAAGAGGTCAGTGTATTGGAAGAAATTTTTTGCTTTGGTGCTTGGTCGAATTGGTGAATTGACACTTTTGCCCCTAATTTCTTGTTTTAACAGATTTGGACGTTCTTACTAGGATTCCATGCATATGATTCAACATATGCCGAGAGGGAGTACCTTATGTCAGTGAAGAAGTCAGAATATGAAACTATAAAAAAACAGTGGCAGGTTTGTCTCTTGATCGCAGTTCATGCATTTTATTTTCTCTAATATTTTGTAGATTTACTAGCACAAATCGTGTGCGGTGGTTTTTTTCATTTGTGTTTTATGTTATTAGAAAACCTTTCACTTGCAACTTATCAATCTCCCTCATGTTACCTTGGGCTTATTCAGTAAATGCAAAGGCTTGTTCTTATATTTTGCTAAGCACATTGTATTATCTTTGTAAATTGTAATTTATTGATTGTTTCATTACAGGCTGTTGGGTGAAGTGAAGTAGTGAACTAAAATTTACTCCTCTTTTATAGGATGAATCTGAAGCGTAGCTTTAGTATTATCTGTCAAGTATTATCTTTAAAGTCGATCACTTAAATTTGAGGTCACTGCTACTTTATGGGTTGGATGTGCAACACAATGACAATAATTATTCAGTCGTGTGAGTTAAAGTTAATTTAATTGTTTGACGTCTAGTTAAGGCCATATACACATATGGACATTAGAACTTTGGAGTACAAATCATGCCTCTTACATGTAATCTTTGAGGGGACTGTTCTATGATAGAAAAAATTATCTAGCCTACAGCTTTTTGCGTCGTACATGTTATAGTTTTAGGAGGTTTAAATCGTAGATTTGATTGATGGTAAATGTTCCTCAAGACAGGATCCTATTGCAGAAGCCAGAAACTCGTCATATTTCATTTGCAGACTTTATTGAGTTTATTCTATTAAAATGTAAACTGGAAAACTTAGGTGCTTGGTCATCTAAGAATTCATCTTGCACTGGGCCTAGATATATATCTCATGATGTAACAGTAATTGTTTTCTCAGAGTATATCGATGGAGCAGGCGAAAAGATTTACAAAGTTCAGAGAGAGGAAAGGTCTTATAGACAAGGATGTGGTATGCTTTATTGTGGTTATTTTCAAATTTTCAATTGTTTGCACATTTCCTAACCTACTTTATGCAACGTGTTTCTTTTTACTTGCTGTTCCAGGTAAGGACTGACAGGTCGCTGTTATTCTATGATGGAGATGACAATCCACACGTGTATATCTTACGTGACATACTGTTAACATACTCATTTTACAACTTTGATTTGGGATATTGTCAGGTAATCAACTTCTAATGACTCGTACACACACACACACACACAGAGACCCACACACGTATATATTTCATTTTTGCGTAGACTAATTGTCACCGTTGTTTTCTGTACTTGAATAATTTTATTTCTCTACTTTAGGGTATGAGTGATCTTCTGTCCCCAATCTTGTATGTCATGAGAGATGAATCGAAATCCTTCTGGTGCTTTGTTTCCCTTATGGAGCGTCTTGGACCTAATTTCAATCGTGACCAAAGTGGGATGCATTCTCAACTTTTTGCATTATCAAAGGTCCTTTATCTCTCTCTCACTCACACACACACACATTACACACACACACACACAGACATGTTGTGCCCATGCTGCCTTGGTGTGTTCAGTTTGTTACACTGAGACCAAGGCTATCTTCTTTGGGTATTTTACTAGTTCAAGAGTGTTACTGTTGTTTAACAGTTTAAGTTTCTTAATACCCCAATATCTGGAATTGTTTCATTTAATTGGCACGTGTTTTTCTGTAAGTAAAATTCTTTTTGTAACTTTTCTTGTCTTAGCTTTTCTTTGAACAAGGGTGATTGTGGGGAAAATAAAGCAGCCGAGATTTAATTTTCCTTGATAGGAAATGCAAAAATACACTCCTTATAAGGATAGTAGTCTGGTTACATATTCCGGGTTCATCTCTGGGCAATTTTATGATTATTTAGAAATTGTTCTACAAGTTCTAATCATCCATCATGTGATGTCCCGGTACCAGAATTATCCATATTTTAAATGGTGCAGCTCCAATGTGACATTCTTCTTCAGAGTCTCGTTTATTTTTTTGTCAAATCACTCATGTTCTTAGTTACATGTAGAGAACAAAATGCCACATGATAACAGGCCCTAAAATCACCATATTTTCCTATTAATGCAGCTGGTAGAACTATTGGACACCCCACTGCACAACTATTTCCAGCAAAACGATTGTTTGAACTATTTCTTCTGTTTCCGCTGGATTTTGATACAGTTCAAGAGGTGAGTAGCAAATTACTTCCTTCCCCATGTTCCGTTTTAAAAAAAACACTTCAGTTTTATTCAATCAACGGACATCTCATACTTTTGCAGAGAATTCGAATACGAACAGACAATGCGCCTGTGGGAAGTTTTATGGACCCATTATCAGAGTGAACACCTTCACCTCTATGTATGTGTTGCTATCCTCAAGAAACACCGTGGTAAGATAATGGGGGAGCGCATGGATTTTGATACGCTGCTTAAATTTATCAATGAACTGAGTGGTCAGATTAACCTTGATGAGATTTTAAGAGATGCGGAAGCTTTGTGTATATGTGCTGGTGAAAATGGTGCAGCTTGCATACCTCCCGGAACTCCACCTTCCCTGCCAATCGAGGATGGATCTGTGTATCCTCAACAAGATGACGTGTTGTAGATGATTACTCAAAACCGATCATAGCAGGACTTTCGAAACCTGTTATTATATTATATGTAAGTGCTATATTGAATTTGCAAATGAACGTTGATGAGTATTGGATAGCTATAGACTATAGTCAATGTATGTAACTTGCATACCCATAATTGATCATGATTTATGTATGGTGAATGTTCTATTCACAAATAATGAAATGTAGGGGTGTTTATTAGATGGTAAAATTTAGGGGATATGTTGATGGTGAATTATACAAGTGATAGGTATATGGGTAGCATGTGAAAAATGTGTTGGGGATGGAATTACTTATATGCAAAATCGAGCAAATCAAAGTTAGGTTGGGTTTTGAAAGAGCTGAGATTGGCCGGAGGATTAAGAGATTGGAACTCATGGGACATAATTAAATTTAAAATTTCCATTCAGGAACGATGTGTTAAATGGTCTTCCATTAAATTAGAAATCACTCCATTGGCCACACTACCACATTACCAACATATGAACCCAGGGAGACGTACCACCATAGTGCAGTATACTCTAACACGTCTAACACGGTTGCTAGCTATTGAAGTGTAATTTTTAAAAGAGAGAAAGATCAGACTCAAATAAGTTCAACCAACATATGAACCCAAGGAGACATACCACTATAGTGGTTGCTAGCTATTGAAGTGTAATTTTTAAAAGAGAGAAAAATCATAGTCAAATAAGTTCAACCAACATATGAACCCAAGGAGACATACCACTATAGTGCACGCATACTCTAACACGGTTGCTAGTCATAGAATTGCAATTTTTAAAAGAGAAAAATAAGAGTCAAATAAGTTCAAAAAAAAAAAAAAATGAAAAAAAAAATGCAGTAGACATGATAGAAAAAATGAATTGACAACCATAATATTTCTGACAAAAAATTCTACATCTTGCGTGTCTAATTTTACGTGAAAAATAGTTAATAATGTGGTGCGTAATTATGCGAATAATATGAAAATGTGTTCGCACATTCATAAATTACGTGAGGTTGATATGGAAATACGAAAAAAAAGCGGATAGTCGTAAATTATTCGGCGTTTGATTGGATAGCGATTAGTGAATATGCGAAACAATGCGCATAATCCGACATTATAGGTTTTGAAATGCGAATCGTAAATTATGCGAACATATGTAGCATAATAGTAAGCATTAGATTTAGATATGTGATATTGCACATTATCCCTTTCCTGATCGGAAGCAAAGGAAAAGACTTTTTCTTACTCTTACTAGGTATGAGTCGTTAAAATCAATCCAAATTTTCCATTTTCTTGATTCTTTGGAATTTGGTTTTCCTCTGGTGGTATCAAAGCGCCGTTATGTCGGGATATCTTATCTATTTGTAGAGGAAAATGGATATCTCGATAAAAGATATGAATATCAATTCTAGATATGCGAATGTTTTTCACATATCGTAAATTATGTGGTTGATCCTGATATTCGATTACAAAATATAATTTCTTTATATTTATTTTTTAAATTCCATAATGACTCACATATTATTTGGGTTCTGTAATATCTTTTATTTTTATTCATTTATTTTTTTATTACGTAATGTGAATACTATGCGATTTAATACACCTTTTTCCCAATTCTGCGAAATTTTTTCCATAAAACTTTTTTCCTTCGAACATTGTCACTAATTTTTTTGAAAAATCTATGTTGCCGGATATTAATGCTTCATTATTCATGCAAAATACTTTTTTAAGACATGAGATTAAAAGACATACTTAACAGAAGAAAAAAAGTCATTATTGTTGCAGTCCCCCAAAGTCCAACAAAATTAGCCAAACAACATAAATTGATTACATGTGGTTTTTCAGTTTATTCCGGTGGATTCTCAGGGTTGAGATCGATGACTTCCACATGTGGTGTGGCGGATGGATATGATCATCACCGTCATCGTCAGTGTTATCATTTTCTATGTCTCCCCCTAGATTGGGTTGTCAATCGAAGCACCAGTGTTATCATCACGGTTGTGTTGTGCTCAGTAAAAATCTCGAAACACTCACGATAACAAGGGAATCCATACCAATCAAAAAATGTCTAAGCGTCGGTCTCTTGTGCATTAAATTTGATAAAAACTGACTTACCTCCTCGCCAATATACAACCACTACATGTGGTTAACACTAACAAGCCCAGCAACACCACACTCGGACGCCTTGAATCATCAGGAAACTTGAAAATTCGTCGAAACAATTTTTGAGCTAATGAATCTTTCCCTGAAATTGGACAAAAGAATACTCCTTGAAGTGATAACCCAAAACTTGGTTTAGTATACGTGTGATTTCTGGACACAAGGAATTGAACACAAGGCTTTGGTGTATGTCTACCATCTCACGACACTTCTTGAAAAGACTTGGTAGCAAGCATCTTCCTCACCCTCGGTTCACTCCACGCGACGGAAGCGGATCTCGATTGTTTTATTGCCTGAAATCCTATATATTTTTTTTTTTCGCAAACGT